TTTATTGAAGATTTTTGCATCTATGTTCATCATGGATATTGGCCTGAAGTTTTCTTTTCTTGTTGGGTCTCTGCCGGGTTTTGGTATCAGAATGATGTTGGTCTCGTAAAATGATTTGGGAAGGATTCCCTCTTTTTGGATTATTTGGAATAGTTTTAGAAGGAATGGTACCAGCTCCTCTTTGTGTGTCTGGTAGAATTTGGCTGTGAACCCGTCGGGACCTGGGCTTTTTTTGAGTGGTAGGCTCTTAATTGCTCCCTCGACTTCTGACCTTGTTATTGGTCTATTCATAGTTTCAGCTTCCTCCTGGTTTAGGCTTGGGAGGACACAGGAGTCCAGGAATTTATCCATTTCTTCCAGGTTTACTAGTTTATGCGCATAGAGTTGTTTGTAATATTCTCTGATGATGGTTTGAATTTCTGTGGAATCTGTGGTGATTTCCCCTTTATCATTTTTTTATTGCATCTATTTGGTTGTTCTCTCTTTTATTTTTAATCAGTCTGGCTAGTGGTCTGTCTATCTTGTTGATCTTTTCAAAAAATCAGCTCTTGGATTTATTGATTTTTTGAAGGGTTTTTCATGTCTCAATCTCCTTCAGTTCAGCTCTGATCTTAGTTATTTCTTGTCTTCTGCTGGGTTTTGAGTTTTTTTGATCTTGCTCCTCTAGCTCTTTCAATTTTGATGATAGGGTGTCAATTTTGGATCTCTCCATTCTCCTCATATGGGCACTTATTGCTATATACTTTCCTCTAGAGACTGCTTTAAATGTGTCCCAGAGGTTCTGGCATGTTGTGTCTTCGTTCTCATTGGTTTAGAAGAACTTCTTTATTTCTGTCTTCATTTCATTGTTTACCCAGTCAACATTCAAGAGCCAGTTGTTCAGTTTCCATGAGGCTGTGCGCTTCTGGGTTGGTTGTACCACATTTTCTTTTCTTTTTTTTTTGCCAATCAGTTTGAGCTTATGAAGTTGCTCAGGTTAGCCTTGAACTGATGACCTCACCTTCGTGAGCGCCATGAGCCCCGGCGGGAGCCACTTTGGACCCCACCACATTTTCTTTATCCAATCTATTGTTGATGGGCATTTGGGTTGATTCCATGTCTTTGCTATTATGATTAGTGCTGTAATGAACATATGTGAACATGTGTCTTTGTGGTAGAATGATCTATATTCCTTTGGGTATATACCCAGTAATTGAATTGCTGGGTCAAATGGTATTTCTAGTTTTAGGTCTTTGAGGAATTGCCACACTATCTTCCACAATGGTTGAACTAATTTATATTCTCACCAACAATGTAAAAGTGTTTCTATTTCTCCAGAGCCTCACCAGCATCTGTTGTTTCTTTACTTTTAATAAGTGCCATTCTGACTGGCATAAGATTGTATCTCATTGTAGTTTTGATTTGCATTTATCTCATGATCAGTGATGTTAAGCATTTTTTCATATATTTTTTGGCCACATATATTTTGAGAAGTTTCTGTTACGTCATTTGTCCACTTTTTAATGGAGTTGTTTTCTTCTCGTAAATCTGTTTAAATTTTCGATAGACTCTGGATATCAGACCTTCCTCAGATGGATAGAGTGAAAAAAGTTTCTCCCATCCTTTAGATTGTCTGTTCACCCTGATGATAGTTTCTTTTGCTGTGCAGAAGCTCTTTAGTTTACTTAGATACTATTTGTCGATTTTTGCTTTTGTTTCAATTGCTTTTGATGTTTTTGTCATAAAATCTTTGCCTGTGCTTATGTCCTGAAAAGTATGCCTAGATTTTCTTCTAATATTTTTACAGTTTGGGGTTTGGAATTTAAGTCTTGATATGGTTTGGTTGTGTGTGTTCCAGCCTAAATCTCATCTTGAATTGTAACTCCCACAATACCCCCATGTCATGGTAGGAATCCAGTGGGAAGTGATTGAATTATGGGGGTAGGTCTTTCCTGAGCTGTTCTCGTGATAGTGGATGAGTCTCACGAGATCTGACGGTTTTAAAAAAATTAGAGTTTACCTGCACAAGCTCTCTCTTTGCCTTGTGCCATCCATTTAAGATGTGACTTGCTTGTTTTTGTCTTCTGCCAGGATCATGGGGTTTCCCCAGCCATGTGGAACTGTAAGTCCAATTAACCCTCTTTCTTTTGTAAATTGCCCAGTCTCAGGTGTGTCTTTATCAGCAGCGTGAAAATGGACTAATACAGATATTTAAACCATCTTGAGTTATTAGTGAACTCTTTAGGGTTTTCTGTATATAAGATCATGCTTTCTGTAAGCAGAGATAATTTAACTTTTTTCTTTTTGATTTGAATGTCTTTAATTTCATTTTCTTGCTTAATTGCTCTGACTCGGCCTTTCCAGTATTATGTTTAATAAAAGTGGTTAAAGTGAGCACTCTTGTACTATTCTTGTTCTTAGAAGAAAAGCTTTTAGCTTTTCACCATTGGGTATGATGTTAATTGTGGGATTGTCATATATGACCTTTATTATGTGGAGGTACATTCTTTCTACACCTAGTTTGTTGAAAAGTTTTACTCAATTAAGAATGTTAAATTTAGTCAAATGTGCTTTTGCATCTGTTGAGATGCTCATATGATTTTTTTCATCTTTCACTCTGTCATTGGGGTATATCAGATTTTATTTACCTTGCATCAAAGGGATACATTCCTTTTAATTGTGGTGAATAATCCTTTTAATATGCTGATGAATTCAGTTTTGTATTATTTTGTTAAGAGTTTTTGCGTCAACACCAAAAGCATTGGCAACAAAAGCCAAAATAGACAAATGGGACCTAATGAAACTCCACAGCTTCTGCACGGTAAAAGAAACAGTCACTAGAGTGGATCGGCAACCAACAGAATGGGAAAAAATTTTTGCAGTTTACCCATCTGACAAAGGGCTGATATCCAGAATTTACAAAGAACTCAAACGGATTTACAGGAAAAAAACAAACAAGCCCATTCAAAAGTGGGCAAAGGATATGAACAGACACTTTATGAAAGAAGACATATATGAGGCCAACAATCATATGAAAAAATGCTCGTCGTCACTGGTCATCAGAGAGATGCAAATCAAAACCACATTGAGATACCATCTCACGCCAGTTAGAATGGCGATCATTAAAAAATCTGGAGACAACAGATGCTGGAGAGGCTGTGGAGAAAAAGGAACACTTTTACACTGTTGATGGGAGTGTAAATGAGTTCAACCATTGTGGAAGACAGTGTGGCAATTCCTCAAGGCCTTAGAAATAGAAATTCCATTTGACCCAGCAATCCCATTACTGGGTATATATCCAAAAGACTATAAATTGTTCTACTATAAGGACACATGTACATGCATGTTCATTGCAGCACTGTTTACAATAGCAAAGACCTGGAATCAACCAAAATGCCCATTGATAATAGACTGGATTGGAAAAATGTGGCACATATACACCATGGAATATTATGCAGCAATCAGAAATGATGAGTTCGTGTCGTTTGTAGGGACATGGATGAATCTGGAGAACGTCATTCTCAGCAAACTGACACAAGAACAGAAAATGAAACACCACATATTCTCACTCATAGGCGGGTGATGAAAAATGAGAACACATGGACACAGAAAGGGGAGTACTAAACACTGGCGTCTATTGGGGGGAAAAGGGGAGAGCCAGTGGGAGGGGGAGGTAGGGAGGGATAGCCTGGGGAGAAATGCCAAATGTGGGTGAAGGGGAGAAGGAAAGAAAAGCACACTGCCATGTGTGTTCCTACGCAACTGTCTTGCATGCTCTGCTCATGTACCCCAAAACCTAAAATCCAATAAAAAATTAAAAAAAAAAAATTTTTTTGCGTCTATGTTTATCAGTGATATTGGTCTGTATTTTCTTTTTGTGTAGTGTTCTTATCTAGCTTTGGAAGAAGGGATGCTGATGTCATAAAATAAGTTTGGAAGTGTTTCCTCTTCTTCAATTCTCTGGAAAGTTTGAGAGTAATTGGCATTAATTCTTCTTTAAATGTTTGGTAGAATTCAATTGTAAAGCCACTGGGTCCTGTTCTCTTCTTTATTGGGATGTTTATGAGTACTGATTGACTCTTCTTACTAATTATTGGTGGTTCAGATTTTTAAAAACATTTTCATGATTCTGTCTTGGTCCATTGTTACTCATCTTGTGTTATGGCCCAACCCAGGTTATGACTTACTTTGGTGAATGTTCTATGTTCACTTGAAAAAGATACATATTCTTTCATTTTGGGGGATAGTATTCATTAGCAGTTAGTTCAGGTTGGTTGGTATACTCTGTTACATTTTTGATATACCATTATATACTGTCTTGTTATATCAATTGTTGAAAGTAGTATGTCAATATTTATGGAAAGTGGTAAATGCTGCACATCAGGGCTTTTAGGTTTTTGGAGGGCTGGTTGTTACATATTACTAGCTCAATAATGGTCATATGCCATTTATAATTGTTGCTCTCTAATTATCTTTAAAAAAGTCTATTACAGTCTTTCTGCTATCTTTACTCCTAGGCTCTTTGTCTATTACATATAATTTTTTCACCTATGAGGATTTTTAAAGCTGTCTAAATAACATGCTTTCTGATAGATTTCTCTTAGACCCAAGCATCTCATTCCCAGGGAGAATGGACAGTGTTCAGGGAGGACACTTGTATTCTACCTGCATGACTAGAAAGATATTAGGGACTGTCAGGTGTTAATTACACCAGATTAAAAGGTCAATAGCCAAGGAATGCTGCCCTATCTTCTATCAATAGGATTTATCATCTCCAGGAAGGAAATAGGAGCAACAGAATAGGTACAATACTGTAAGAAATTTGTCAGTCTGGACATTTCCTAACATCAAAGTCCCCTTTTTGGGTAACCCTGCTAAACTTTACAAAGATTAGAATTTTATCATTTATTCCAATAATAATTTAAATATTACCATTCACCATAGAAGATGACTGGATTTTTTATTAGCAATCCTTAACACAAAATAACATATTATTTCAATCAAATGACCCGAAGGATCCAGGATTGTGTGGTTGCTGCCTATAATCAATTTTTCTTGATTGAAGAAAAGTTCTACTGCTAGTTTTATCCTCTTGGTCCTGCTTATGCACTCACATCTTAAGAAACAACCTACCTCAAGATTAATGCTCTAGTGAGAAAAGAATGGCAACATACCTACATTTTTGCCTTTGTTACACAGGCTGCCCCCAAACTGGAGCCCTTTCAGGATTTATGTATCCCCTTGACCTTGTTTCTTTATTTTCTTCTACTGGCCAACCATCATCAGCAGTCAACTAATCCCACCCTGACTTCACTAGAGGCCACTGTGAAGTAAGAAGCAGGGACCATGACCACAACAATCTCAGAGGGGGAAGCAGATGGGCCGTGAGGAGGAAGCTTTTTGTTGCAGTCTGTAACACTGTGGATGGATAGCTACTCGACTGCTGACAGTAATAGCTTGCAGCATCATCAGCCTCCATGCTGCTAATTGTGAGAGTGTAAGAGGTCCCAGAACCGCTGCCACTGAACCTGGCTGGGACTCCAGAAGCCAGACTTGATGTGCTATAAACAAGAAGCCTTGGAGGGGATCCTGGCTTCTGTTGGTACCAGTGCAAGTAGCTGGTGCTTACACTCGAGCTGGCCGTGCAGGAGATGGTGACTTTTTCTCCTTGGGAAACAGCCATGGATGTTGGAGACTGGGTCAGTACAATTTCTCCATTGGATTCTAGGATTATACAGAATGGATAAAAATGTATAAACGTGAACAAAAATAGAGATGCAAGAATGCCTTTATATCATGCAGTATGCAAAAGTACTATAAGACTTAATTTTAAAAGAAAAAAATAAAAATCCTCTTTTAGACTCAAACTCCCTTGGGAAATACAATCATGAGTTTAGAGCTTTCTCTCTTACCTGTGACACTGAGCAGAAGGAAGATGAAAATTTGAGCCTGAAAATCCATTATGTTGGCTGAGCCCTGTCACAGGCTAAACATATGTCTTCTTAAAATGAACCCCCCTTAAAAGCAATTCTGAGCATTTTGTGGTTATTGAGGAAGAGGTATGCAAATTAGCAGGTGGGTCGTCCTTGGCTTTTAAGTCCCTGTGGGCCTTCCTCTTGTATAAGTTATATAGGACAGGGAAGATTCTCAGTTCTTTTTCTGAAGTTGTGTAAACACTCTGGTTCAGGACATTATGTATGTGTTTGTGTGCACACAGGCTTAATTTGACCTCTTAGCAAGGGAAGAGCAGCATGTGAGCTGTATTTGCTCTGTGGTGTGAATTTGCTTAGGATTTCCATATATAATATTCACGGGAAAACTGCAAACATCACAGATATTCTTTCTCTTTCTCTGAAAGTTGCTAAACTGAGACCTTGCCCAATCATTGTGGTCTCCTCAAATGACTCTACTAACATCCTAGTGTGTAATCTGGAACCTAGATATCCTTGGGAATGTTTTCACAAAAGATTCACACCAGTTGCAGTCAGAGAAGAGAAAACACCAGTAAGGTAGGGCAGGCAAACTAAACCTTTTTGTATGAAATGGAAGGAAATCCTGCCATCAGTTCATTAACAAATGTAATTTGCGTAGCACTATACCCCTACTGATTTTGAAACCACCCTGAGCTTGATGGAGCTGGAATAGAGATTCTGATTAAATAACTACAAATCAAAGTGATGATTATTTTAGTCAGAATATGAACAGTGTTCTGTTGCTAGAGTGTTTAACTAGAGGTCGTATTTTTATCCGAGTATGTTGAAGAATAGTTTTCCTAAAAGTTATCTATTAATTGACAAAGAGTTAGAGAGAACACTAAAGGCAGAGAATATATGTAAGAGTTCATTCAAGAAAGGGTCTTAAAATTTAGTCTCACTGCAAATTTGGATTCTATTCTCTGAAATAGACTATTGAAAAGATATAGAGACCACGAGGAAGCATGAAAACATCTGCATTGCTTCCTCAAGGATGTTTAATTGCCTCATTGATTCTTTTAGGAAACAATTTTCCCATTTTTGCTCATTGATTCTCAAAGATATAAAAATAACTTAGAGGATTTGTGATTAAAGTTCCCACGCCTAGAGATACTGACCTCCTATGTGGTGTTGAGTTTACCTTAATTCTTAAAGAATACTTAGCTTTGAAGAGAACTCTAGGTATATGGCTACATTTTATGGTTTCTGCTTTTCCTCATTTATGTTTAGAAGTTCGCGATTAGTCTTCTTGTTTCTTCAAAATGAGAGAATTTTTTTTTCTGATGAAGATATTTTCTGTTTTATCAGTAGATACTGAAGTGTGACATTATTTATACAGTGTAATACTACACTGCAATAAAAATTAGTAAATTGCAACAACTTGAATTTTTATAATAAAATTAAAATGACAAATATCTATTATTCAAAACACATCTGAGAAGTTAATTTATAGAAATAGACATAAGCATGTGTAAAGATATAGGTTAAATTATATCAACTAATCCATTGGTTATATTAGCAAAACCTGAACATAATTTAATTGCCCCTCAATAGAAATGCTTGAATAAAGTATAATTGCTCCACACAATCCAAAATGTGATGATAAAGAATAGGTTGTATTTTTTTATCCCTGACCTGAAGATACTCACTTTTGAAATGTTTAAAGTAAACTTCCAAAAATGTTATTTCATAAGCCAATATCTGAAAACATAGAAGCAGGATTATGAAGAGTAGTAGTGTGTCTTTTCTGTCTTTACAAATATGGAATCATTTCACATCTTGTGGGGTTACAATGAGTGAAAAAAGGGGTTATGGCAATGGGAAAAATGTGTGCATAACATATAGCAATATTCATAGAGACAAATGAAGTTATAGTGACAAATGAAAAATAAAAAGGCAATTTGATTTACACACACACACACACACATATATATGTGTCAGGAATATGGAATGAGAGGAGACAGGTAAACACAATAAGAACTCTGACCAATGCATAAAATAAGGATATTACAGAAATAGAACAATGGTATTTAAACATCTAAAAATAACATAATAGTCACTAGAACTAAAAAAGATTCTGTATATCCGTATTCATTCATAGAAAGATGACAGTTTCTAAATTATGATTAATATTTTCATCAGTCAGAGAAATATGGTGCTACTCAGAAAAATATTTTTTAAACAATCGATACACATCATATCAGGTAATGAGATATTTCTTGAGTCCAGGCATGGTCATGTAACTTTCAGGACTCCTCTGTGTTTAGCATTTATGGGAGACCTGACTACATTAACCTTCATCTAACCACATTTTAACTGCATTGAAAACTTTTGGTGGGAAGTGAGATGGCAAGCCATAGTGTCATTGCATTTTCAGACCCCAAGAGGGAGCTGAGAGATCATGCCTTGAGGAAGTGATTATGAAAGAGTCCCCTTCCAGAGCTCTGCGTGATAACATTGCTTATTCACGGACCCACACCCTCCCCAGATGTGCAAAGAAAGTCCAGCTACCCAAGACCCTTATTAGTGCGCAGATTCCCCATAGTCAACACTCCTTGGCATCCACCACGTCTGTAGGGGAAGCGCGGTTCCGGGCTCAGGTCATCAGGTGTCTTTTACCCAGGTGAAAGTCCAAGGTAGACCAGTCACAAAACAAAGTCCTCAGTGGAATTTTTATATTGCTTCATTAAACTACAGTGTCAAACCATGAAAAGCACCTATTGTAAGTGTGCCAATCAATGACTTATGGTAAATTTACAAAGCTGTAGATAACCACAGTTTAATCTTACAACACTCTAATCATCCCCTGAAGGATCCCTTGTGCAAACCAGCAGTTATTTTTATTTCCACGTTCAGTCTCAGGTATTTATTAATTGACTCTCCCTCTACTGATTGCCTGATATGAACATTCTATATAAATAGAATAATGAATGTATAGTCGTTTCTATCTGGTTTATTCCATTAAACTAAGTTTAGTTCATCCCTGTTTTACCATGTATCTGTAGTCCGTTTCTTTTTCTTTTTGGATAGTATTCCACTATATGGATATGCCACATTTTATTGATCTATTCACAGGTTGATGGACATTCAGGTCCTTTGCACTTTTTGGGTATATGATGATCAATAATGCTGCTATGAATATTTGCCTATAAGTCTTTGCATGGACACTGGTTTTGACTTTTCTCAGATAGACCTCTACAAGTGGAAATGTTAAGCCATATGATAAAGTTCTGTTTATTTTTTAAAAACTGTCAAACTGTTTTCAAAAGTGGCTGCAGCATTTAATATTTGCACTAACAATGTATGAAGGCTCCTTTTCCATCACATTTCACCAACTTTTGTTATTTTCTGTTTTTAAATTATTGTTAAAATGATTATAGTGTATGGTGCCCATTGTGAACTTAATTTGATTTTTGCTAATGACTGATAAGGTTGAGCATCTTTTTATGTGCTTATTATCTGTTCATATATCTTTTCCCATAACATTTATACTAAAACATTTTGTTTATTTTTAAATTGGGTTGCCTTATGACTTATTTATATATTCTGGAAATAAGTCATTTATCAGATAAATAATTTATAAATAATTTCTCTGGTCTATGGTTTGTCTTTTTATTTTCTTAGTGGTATCCCTTGAAATGTAAATGTTCTGAACGTTAATGAAACCTATTAGCATTTTCTTTCACAAGTTGCGCTTTTGATATTGTAACTAAAATATCTGGTGAACCCAGAGATGGAAAAGTTTTATCCTAAAGGATTTATAATTTCATTTTTTAGGAACAGGCAAAAGTTGGAAGCATTTCCCTTGAAAACTGACACAAGACAATGATGTCATTTCTCACCACTCCCTTTCAACATAGTATTCAAAGTTCTGGCCAGGGCAATCAGGCAAGAAAAAGAAATCAAGGGCATTCAAACAGGAAGAGAGGAAGTCAAACTATCCCTGTTTGCAGATGAAATGATCCCGTATCTTGAAAACCCCATCATTTCATCCTCAAAGCTTTTTAAGCTGATAAGCAACTACGGCAAAGTCTCAGATACAAAAATCAATGTGCAAAAATCACCAGCATTCCTGTATACCAACAACAGTCATGCCAAAAGTCAAATCACAAACAAACTCCCATTCACAATTGCCACAAAATGAATAAAATACCATGAAATACAGCTAACAAGGGAAGTGAAAGATCTTTAAAAGGAGAGCTACAAACCACTACTCAAAGAAATCAGAAACAACACAAACAAATAGAATAGCAGTCCATGTTCACAGATGGGAGGAATCAGTATCATTTAATTATACGGTCCAAAGCAATTTATAGAGTCAGTGCTATTCCCATTAAACTACCACTGACATTCTTCATAAAACTAGAAAAAACTATTTTGGGGTCCAAAGTGGCTCCCACCGGAGGTCATGGCGCTTGCGAAGGCGAGGTCATCAGTTCAAGGCTAACCTGAGCAACCTCATAAGCTCAAACTGATTGGCAAAAAAAAGAAAAAAAAAGAAAAAACTATTTTAAAGTTCATATGAAACAACAACAAAAAAGCCTGAATAACCAGGTGATCCTAAGCAAAAAGAACAAAACTGGAGGCGTCACACTGCTGCAGGGCTACAGTCATCAAAACAACATAGTACTGGTACAAGAAAAGAGACAGACCAATGGAATAGAATAGAGAGCCCAGAAATATGGCTGCACACCTATAACCATCTGATCTTTAATGAAGTTGACAAAAGCAAACAATGAGGAAAGGACTTCCTATTCAGTAAGTGGTGCTGGGATAACTGACTAGACATATGTAGAAGATTGAACCTGGACCCCTTTCCTTAAACCAGATACAGAAATCAACTCAAGATGGATCAAATATTTAAATGTAAAACCCAAAACTATAAAAACCCTGGAAGACACCCTAGGCAATACCATTCAGGACATAGGGACAGGCTAAGATTTCACGACGAAGATGCCAAAGCAATTGCAACCAAAGCCAAAATTGACAAATGGGATCTAATTAAACTGAGGAGATTCTACACAGCAAAATAACATATCAACAGAGTAAACAGATC